TGGCTGGATGGCTGGATGGCTGGATGGCTGGATGGCTGGATGGCTGGATGGCTGGATGGCTGGCTTATTTCCACGATTTTTCCTAACGAATTTTTTTTACCTCAAAGATCGAGATGGGAGCTCTAACAGGAGAACAACTCAAAAGCTTGTTTAAAAACGTCGATAACAATAGCCTGTGGTTTAAATCCGAGAAACTAAAAAAATGGGTAACCAACACAGAACAAGGTATCACGTGGAAGGCAGCCATGGGAACAAAATCCCTCAACACACTTAAGATTGTTGTCATGTGATAAACTGTTGCCATAGTAACACAGTCCATCATGTCCTGAGAATCGCTATCTATCGTATGAATTGTATTATATTCTAAGTACCGACAATACACATGAATGACTAATGAGATATGCATACTGGGGAAAAGTTGTGCGTCCACAGCGTGGACAACGAGGGGAGAGAGAGAAGAGTATGAAGAATGAAGAATATTCACGCTGAAGGGAATGGGGGTCGCCGCGATGTCAAGAAGGCCCGATGGCGGCTTAATATATGCAAGGCAGTTCATCATGGGATCTCATTATAATGTTAATTCTCCGTTGTTATTGCTGGCACTTATAGAATAGTTTAATTTTGATTAGGTATTTGTATATCAAGTTGTGAAGTAAATAAATAAATGAATAAATGAATGGATGAATGAATGAATAAAAATATATCAAATTCTGCTGATCCTCGCAGTATATGAAGCAACTTATGCAGCTGCAAATTGAAAGAGTCATTCCGGTGCCGATTCCGTGCCATGCTCTAACGACTTAGCTACCAAGCCTTATATGAGACTTCAAGGACACATTAGGTGTGTTTATCGGGCCGCGTTCCCTGTAAGGATTTATGGGTCAGCGATTCTTGGTTAGCATTTTTGGAGCAGGGACCGATTGCAATGTAGATTTCTCTTGTCAGTTATAGTTAATGAATTCGACTATGCTATTGAATCCTCAATTCTGTTTGGTTGACCTTGATCGACTTGCTTCTGAAGGTCAACTCAGCAAGATTTTGATTTTTTTTAGTGTTGACTTAGAATGGGGTTGAAGGGGGTAAATCCAACTTGATGATGACTTATCTTCTGACAAAGAAATCATCTTTGAGGACGAAACTCTTTCTTTCTTTCTTTCTTTCTTTCTTTCTTTCTTTCTTTCTTTCTTCCTTTCTTTAGAGTCTCGACTGATTATTTGCTACGTACTTTCGCTCAAGCGATTTTCTATGTAAAAACATGTTTGATACTTAAGCTGAATGATTTAAGAATAAAGTTTTTTATCGTTATTAAGGGCTTCAAGCAATCGGTTCACAGAAATATTTTGATTTGTGAGATTTTTTTGCGTTCAAATTTTGCCAACGTAGCAAATACGCATTTGAGAGCACATCGACCGTTTTTTCTCAAAAATCAAAAACTTTCACAGCATTCAAAGGTCTTCAAGGTAACCTTCTTTGCGGCAAAATCCTTCTAAGGACTGATTTATTTTAAATTTTCCAAAAACCAATTTTGAGAAAAATCTCAAAATCTAGGGTTACAGTTGAGCAAGGTCTGAAAAATTGACTTTTTCAAACATCGCGCAAAATATTTTTTTGGAAATATCTCTGTTTTCCTTATTCCGAATCTCGTTTCTTCAAGGGAGCAGTTAACTCAAGATAAAATACAGTATCTGAGAGAAAGTGGAATCAATTCATCAAATTTTACGAGTTTTATGATAAAAAGTCTAAAATGGTAGCAAATACGCAGCAAGGTAGCAAATACGCACTAGTGAGGTAGCAAATACGCACTTAACCCCAAGCAAAAAGGTAGCAAATACGCACTCAATGTAACTGCAAATAAATTGATTTCTTTTAGTTATAAATACAATTCCATAAAGATTTCTACCGCCCCAAACAATTTTATTATATATAGTTACTTCGATATAGTTTAAGATTCTTGTAGAAATGCACAGAATAAAATCTAATAAGCAAAACGACATGGTAAAGTTTAAACCGTAGACATTTATTTCCAGACGTTTCGGCGTCCTTACTACAGGACGTGTAACAAGTGTAGTTGGAAATTATGAAACTTTGCGCACGATATTCTTTCTTTCTTTCTTTCTTTCTTTCTTTCT